CCCTGACCACGCTCCCGATCCCCCTCCCCCCACCCCTGTCCTCCTCCTCCCGCCAACACACAGTGCGACTCAGTGCCCCCCCCCCCCCCACCTCACCCCACCCCCACCCACCACTGCCATGAGCGACATAGACAACGAGGTGCGCAATTCGTTCCGCAGTGCCCTGCTCGACCTCCGCAGCATCGACGTGGCTTCTGTGGGTGCGGTTCAGAGCTTGGCTGGTGACCTCGTCGACCATGCCGCGGTCGTCCTCGAGGTCATTGTACAGCACTTGAAGGTCTGCAAGCCAAAGTATGCTCTGCCATCGTTCTGCTTGATTGATGCTATTCTCAAGAGAGTTGGTCAGCCGTACATCGATCTGGTGGCTGCGGACGTGGAGCATTGGCTGCCTACCATCTTTGCTCGCCTCGACTACGATGCTCAGATCGTCGCCCTCAAGATCCTCAGGGTCTGGTCCGAGAGGAAGACGTTCGAACAAGTGTTTGTGGACAAGCTCATGGCCCTTGTCGAGCCGTACAAGCTCATTGCCTTTGATCAGCTGCCCAAGAAAAAGCCTACTCGTTTTGGCCCCTCGTCGGCAGAGTTGCTGGCCGCAGGCGCGGGCTCGCGGCAGGACTTTGCTGCAGACGCGCTCCGTGCCCAGGCCAATCCGGTCGCCATGGAGCTGCCGCGCCCTATCTCGGTCTGCCCTGGTCCCCCGTCGCGCTCAGTCCTTGCCCGCCACAACTACGGCCTGCCGCCGCGGACCGAGCGCATCGCTCCGCATGCCGTCCGGCTCGACGCCGTCACCGCCGCCGCCACGCGCATCGACTATCTGATCGACCAGCTCGCCAAGTGGTTCCGCTCGCCGACAGCATTCATACCTCGTCCCGACGGCGCACCTTCGCTCGACCCAGCCCTTGCCGCGCCTGCACCGTCGGCCGGCTCGACCGGCGCGCCCACGCAAGCTGCAGCCTCCTCGGCGCCGTCGGCCGGCGCGCCCGACCTCCTCTCCAAACTCTCGTCGCTCCTCTCGTCGGTCTCGTCCAAGACCGGCAGCGCACCGGCTGTTCCGCCGCAGGCCCAGCCGCAAGCCCAGCCGTTCCAGCGGATGCCTCCGGCGGCGGCGCAGCCTTACCCGGGCCCGCCGCCGTCGTTCCCGGCGGCAGCCCAGCCGTATCGTCCGCCGCCGCCGCAGCAGCATCCCCCGCCGCAGATGCGGCCCGGCCCGCCGGGCCAGAGCATGCATCCACTCGATGTCATGGCCCGCAACCGCCAGGCTGCCATGCATCGCCCGCCACAGCACATGCAACGCCACCGCCCGCCTCCCGGCCCGCCGCGTCTTGCACCTGGCCCGCAGCTCCCACCGCCGCAATTCCCGGCTGGCATTCCGCGCGGCCGCCGCCGTCCGCTCCCCGGCCCGCCGCGCCCACAGATCCGCCCTCAAGCCCGCCCACAGCAACCGCTCCGTCCGCTCCCGCCTCGCGACGTCAAGCCCAGCGTCGCCGCTCTCCCCCCACCACCAGGCACCGCCCGCGCAGGCCCGCCGGCCTCGGCCAAGGACCTGCTCTCCAAGGCCGCCCTCCGCCGCCCGGTCGACTTTATCGTCAAGCGCCTCTACAACACCGCTGCCAAGCAGTGCCCAACCTGCGGCATGCGCTTTGTCGACCACTCCAAGCTCGACCCGCACATGGACTTTCACTTTCGCCGCAACCAGCGCCTTGAGCGCCGCGGTGCAAACTCGCTCGCCCGCGCCTGGTTCCTTACCCCGCCCGAGTGGCGGGCCTCGGCCGGCGATGACTCGCGCGTTGTCACCACAAAGGCCGCCTTCTTTGCAGAGCCCGAGTCATCGCAGCCCGCGCTAGCAAGCGTCGCCGGCGACGCCGTACCCGCAGCTTCATCTGCTGCCGTCGCATCTGCCACGCCTGCCGCGCCGTCCGATCCCGACGACGACCCCTCGCTCGACGTCGTCGCCGACGAAGACAACCCGAACTGCGGCTTGTGCGGCGGTAAGTTTGAGAACCGCTGGGACGAGGACGAGGAGGAATGGCGCGCCATCGGTTCGTGCATCCTGCCCGGCCGCCAGGGCCTCTTCCACCGCTCGTGCGTCGCCCAGGCCAACATCGGCTCCACCGTTGTTGTCCCGGCCGCCGGTAATAGCGCCGGCTCTGACTTTGTCACTCGCGTCGCCAAAGTCGACCTCTCCAACATGTTCTCGTCCGCGGCCTCGACCGCCACTCCTGCCGACACCCGCAAGCGCACCCGCGCGGCCGATGAGCCGACCGACCCGCGCAAGCGCGCAAAGCCACTTTCTTCGTAAACTTGTTTACCCCAGCGTCAGCCGCAGATCGTTGTACCGCTTCTGCAGCTTCAGGTACCGCTCCTCCATCTTCTTGCAGTCGATGACCGCCTCGTCGCGCTCAAACTTGTACTCGGCAAGCTTCATCTTGGCGTCCACGAGCGCTGCTTCGGCAGATTGCGTCCTTGCAGACTCGGCAGCCAGCGACGACTGCGCCTCGCTCACGTCGCCACGCAGTCGGTCGAGCTCGGAGCACATGTCGGCCTTCTCGCGCGTCAGCTCCGAAAGCACCGTCTCGAGCAGCGACCGCGCGTTCTCCAGCTCGGCCTTGGCTCCGGCCGCAGCCTTGTGCTCTTCTCGGAGCACCTCCAGCTTGGTCGTCAGGTCGTCAAGCTCCATCCGCACTTCATCCAGCTCCTCGCTTGCCTTGACCTTGGCCGTGCTCGCCCGCTCTACATCGGCCTGAGTAGCGTCCAGCCGCGTCTGTAGCGTCTCCAGCGATGCCGCAAGCGCAGACTTTTCGCCTTGCAGCAAGCCCATCGCCGTTGCAAGCTCCACCTTTTCGTCACGCTGGGCCTCGAGCTGCATCTCCAGCCGGTCCACCGCGGCTTGCTTCGACGTCACTGACGAGCTCAGCGTCTCGTCCTGCGCAGAGAGTCGCGCCACCCGCATCTGCAGCTCGCTCAGCTCGCTCTGCGCCGCAGCTACCTGCGCCTTGCTCGCCTCCAGGTTGCGGACCTCTTCCTGCAGCGCGCGGACTTGTCCTGACAGCGACGCCGCCTCCTCCTCCAGCGCCGCAACCTTGGCCGTCGCTCTCTCGGCCGCGCCTTCAGCCTCCTCGCGCTGCCCCACGAGCTTGGCCAGATCGGCTTCGTTCTGCCGCTGCCGCTCCTCCGCCACCGCGCTCGCAGCCTGCAGCGTCGAGATCTGGCTCTCTGCCGCCGCCCGAGCCGATTCAACCGACGCCAGTGCCGACGAGCTGGCCGACTTTTGCTGCTCCAGCTGCGCCAGCTCGTCCTTGAGCCCCACGAGAGCCTCACGCGCTGCCGCCACCTCGGCCTGTGCCGCCACGGCCTCGGTGGTGGCAGCCTCGGCTGCCGCCCGCGCCGCTGCCTCGGCCGCCTCGGCTGCTTCGGCTACGCCGGCAGCCTGTGCCGCCGCCGCCTCGGCCTCTGCCAGCCTCGCTGCCGCCGCCTCCGACTCGGACACTGCCGCCACCCGCGCCGCCTTGGCCTCCGACGCCTCACTACGCGCACTCGCCGCCACCGCTGTTGCTGCCTCGGCTTCGGCCTGCGCCTCGTCGCGCGCCATTTCCGCTTGCGCGACCTCCTCGAGCAAGTCTTGTGACCGAGCCGTCAGGCTCTCCACCTTGGGCTCGAGCTTCTCAAGCGCCACCTGCGCCCGCTCGCTAGCCTCGGTCTTGGCCGCTACCTCGCACTCCAGCCGTCCTGCCTCGGCCTCCAACCGCGTCGCCTCCGTCTGGCCGGCCTCGATCTTGGCCTTGAGGTCGATAAGCGCCGCGAGGCCGATCGACCGCTGCGACTCGTGACGCGCTAACACGGCCTCGAGCTCAGCAACCTGGCTCGACAGCTCGGTGCTCTTCTGACGCACGCTAGCGAGCTCTGCTGTCTTGGCATCGAGCTCCGACGACGACGCTGCCAGCTTCAACTTGAGCTCCGCCATCTGGCCAGTCATCTCGTCCTTGCGCTGCGAGAGGAGCGAGACCTCGGCGTTAAGCGTCGCCTTGTCGCCCGCGAGCGACGCCAGCAGCGCATGGAGATCAGCCTTGTCGTCGTCGAGCGCAGCAAGCTCGTCTTGCTTGGCCGCAACCGCCGCCGCCAGGCTCTCCTCGCGCTCAGCGAGAATCTCCAAGTTGGCCAGCGTCTTGGCCTCAGTCTCGGCGAGCGAACGGTGTGATTCGAGAATCGAGTCGTTGACCACAGAGAGCTCTAGCTTTTGCTTCTGGATGGTCGAGAGGCCCTCGGCAACCTGTGCCATGACCTCGCGGTGCGAGCGCTTGCTCGATGTGTTCCGTGGTGAGTTGGGGTTCGACGCTGTCGACAAAGGAGCCTCGGCGTCGGCCGTCGCGTCTAGGTCGACCGCTTCGGAGCCGACCGTCGAGTCGTCGTCGGTCGGCAGCGCATCGGCGACAGACGCTTGGCTGTTGTGCGCCCGCTCGAGCGCCGCGTTGGACGCACCCGACGAGCCAACTTCCGACGCCAGCGTCTCCAGCGCTGCCGTCACCTCGGCGTAGTTGGCCTGCAGCAGCTTGACCCGCTTCTTGAGCGCAGAGTTTTGCTTGACCAGCTTGTCCGAGTGCGCTTTCATCTGCAGCTTGGCCTTTTTCCACTTTTTCTTGACCTCGTTGACCCGCTCCGAGTCGTCGTTGAGCGCCTCGCGAGCAGCCTCCAGCTCGGCGAGGAGCGCGTTGTTAGCCAGCGAGAGCGAGGCGTTCTCCTCTTCAAACTCCTGCACCTGCCGCTCCAGCTCCTCCAGCGCCGCCGCCTGCTCTGCTGCCGCCTGCGCTGTGATCGACGACGCCCGCGGCCGACCGGCCGGTGCAGGCTCGGCCGGCCCGGGAGCAGGAGCCCCCACTACTCCGCTTTCGCTTGCCCCTGCCGGCGGCATCACTGCCGCATCCATCGACGCTGCCATCGACGCCACAAACTCGGCGCCGCCGCGGGCCTCCAGTTCGGACTCGAGCGCCGCAATGTACCCGCGGAGCTTGGCAATCGTCTTCTCGAGCTTGGAGATGTGGAGCTCCATCTCGGCCGGCGACCGCTTGGCGTTGACCGTGGCAACGTTTTTGATTTCCTTGGCTCGCTTGCCGAACCGCAGCGTCGACAGCGTCTCGGTTGCGTTGAACGACGATGGCGAACAGTTGATGATGAGCAGCGTGAGCGAGTTGCCGCCGAGCGACTCGGAGAGCACCCGGGTCAGCTTGGAGTCGCGGTACGGGATGTGCCGCGACTTGCCGTCGGTCAGCGCGTAGATGACCTTGCCCAGCGCCGTCAGAGACGTGTTGATGTTCTTGGCCTCGTCGAGCCGGTCGCCGGTTGCGTTCGTCTTCTTCACCTTTTCGGAACCGGCCAGATCAACCAGGTTGAGCTTGGCCGTCGTCTCGGACAAGTCCTTGAGGTTCTTGCCGCGGACCGTCATCTGGAACAGCGAGTGCGACCGCGAGGAGACCGCGTTCATGTCGGTCGATGAGACCTTGCGGTTCTCGCCGCCGGCGTCCATCACTGCCAGCACCTCGTCGGCGGTGTTGACCCGTCGCTCAGTGAGGCCCTGCACAAACACGCCACGGGCCTTGTTCTCGCGAATAGCTAGCTTGCCCTGTGTGGGATTGAGCAAGTCGCGCACCCGCTCGAGGTAAATCTCAAAGTAGGCCACCGAGACCTCGTACTCGTAGTTGACAGCGTTGCTGTCGATGCGGGAAAAGATCTCCCGCACAATCCGCGGAATAATGCCCATCATGGCCTCGTCCTTAGTATCAGGCCCCATCATGGTGTGGGTCTTGCCTGAGCTCGTCTGTCCGTAGGCAAAGATGGTGCCGTTGTAGCCAGCGAGCACATCGTCTACAAGCTTGGAGGCACAGCCTTCAAAGACGGTCTTCTGGTCAGCCTGTGGCCCAAACACAGCATCAAACACAAACTCATGGTCGTCATGCACCACCCTCTTCCCGTTGTCATCCAGCACCATGACCTCCCGTCCGCCCTCGGCCACCTCGCGCGAGTTCTGAGGACGGAACCGGCACACCACCTTGACGCCCTTGCCTCCCTCCGGCCCGTCCGGTCCACTTGCGCCACTCCCGGAAGCCATGCTTATCCCTTCAAACTACCAAGCTCTCTCTCTCTCTCTCACACACACACACACACACGCGCCTTTGCTCGGTGCCTCGGCCAGGCGTCACGTGTGGCCTGCCGTCGTCTTGCGAACCCCGCTCGCTTCTGGTCCGAGGGCTGGAGAACGGGGAGGAGGGTACGCCGAGCCCTCGCTCGCCCTGTCGCCTTCCACGACTCAACGGTCTTTGAAACAAACGAACGCATGAGCGTTGAATCAATTTGCTCCACCGTGGTTTCTATGACAGTATGGACAACCAACCACCCAATGAATGCCACTGCAGCCAGAGTTGAGTAATTGACGTTTTGCCTTGTTCTCCCGCTCTACCACCATCGATGCCTTGGAAACCAGTCTAGTATCTAGATACGTGCTCACGCTTGATGTCACACTCTTGCCCGCTTGCCATCTTGCCTCTAACCCTCCTCAGCGCAGTGTCATGCCGAGCTTCCGCTGTGTCTTCTCAAAAATACGGCAGGCTGCCGTGCCTCTCATCAAGCCACTACCTCTGGCGCTCTCATCACTCCCCGCCACCATCCCACCACGGCAGTGCAATCCTACACCAGCTAACCACTCTCCGTACTCTGCATGCTCTCCGGTCACGTCATAGTCTCTATATCTTGCAAACGCATGTTCGGTATCCTCTAGTGCGACCGCTACCGGAAAAAAACTTGTCGAACGCGCGCGAGGACAGAGCAGCACCCACCTCGCGTAGCACCCACGCAGAGACAAGGCCATCTCGACGGGTAGAACCTGACCACACCGCTCTTCAGCCACTATCAGTATCTGCGCCAGGCAGAGAGTAGGCTTATTTTCCTGTAGACTAGCTGCTGAGGTTCAGGTCTCCGGCTTTGTCCCCGGCTCGCTCAGCTTTGCCTGTCGCTCCCGGCAGCAGCGCTCACGAGAGGGACTGTGCTGACCATGGCGCGTCGCAAAAGAAAGGGCAACAAGCCGCCACCGCCTCCGGCGCACCTGGCGTGGGCAGACAGCCTTGATAGACCAGACCAAGTAAGCCAGGAGCATGTCGACACGGCGTACGGGCTCGCCGTCGAGCCGGTCTGCCCCGACGCGAGCGGGAAGAACAGGGCACACTCAGCGTACTGCCTCCACGGGTGGGCCAAGCGCGGCAAGGGTGTGTGGGCGACCCGGCCGAGTATTCTGAGCGGTTTCAAGGACAATCCCGAGGAGTTGCTGCGGATCCCGCCGCCTCCGCCGCCTCACGAGCGGTTCGAATGGGTCGGCAACACGAGCAGGCGGCCTTACAAGATCGGCAAATGCATGGTCGGTCTCGCCAACCTCGGCGCCACTTGCTACATGAACTCGCTCCTGCAGACGCTGTACATGGATGTGCCGTTCCGGGCTGCAGTCTATGCCTTTGATCCTGCGTGCGTGGCTCAGACCATCCCGCCCGGACAGACCTCGGTCGTTCACGAGCTGCAGCGGGTCTTTGCCTACCTCGAGCTCTCTCAAAAGACGGTCTACGTTCCGCAGCAACTGGTTTCTGCTCTTGGCTTGGACACCACCGAGCAGCAGGATGCACAAGAGTTCTACAAACTCTTTCTCAGCGCCATCGAGACCGAGATGCGCCAGTCGGACGACCCGCATGTGGCGAGCGCGGTGGGTCGCACCTTCCGTGGCAAGCTCTCATACGTCACCACCTGTCAGTCTTGCAAGCACGCGAGTCGACGCAGTGAGCCGTTCTACGAGCTCGATCTCAACTTTCGGTCGGCATCGGACAAGCTGGCCACGCTGGAGAACCTCATCACCGACTACGTCACGCCTGAGGTCATGGATGGTGACAACAAGGTCTTCTGCTCAAAGTGTGAAGGCAAGCATGCTGCCACCAGAGCCATCGAGCTCGAGGAGCTTCCGTCATCACTGGTCGTCCAGGTCAAGCGCTTCACCTATGACATGGTCACCTTCCAGAAGAAGAAGATCCACACCAACATTTCGTACCCGCAGTCGCTCAACCCTGGCCGCCTCGTCCCAAACGCCGACTTCCCCGCTCACGAATACCGGGTGTGGGCCATCCTCGAGCACGCTGGTGCCACTACTTCGGCTGGCCACTACATTGCCTTTCTTCGCGAGCCAATCAACCAGTACTGGTACCGTTTCAACGACGAGGAGGTCCGCTGCGACATGAACTTTGACGATCCGCTTGACGCAGGTGCCGATGCGCTTGTCGCCGGCACCGACACCGCCACCGAGACAAAATCCAAGTCCAAGTCCAAGTCCAAGTCCAAGCCCAAGCCCAAGCCCAAATCAGCCGCCAAGTCCAAACCAGCTGCCAAACTCAAGTCGGCCGCCAAGTCCAAGGCTGCTGCTACCGCCAAGGCCAAGCCCAAGGCCAAGCCCAAGGCCAAGGCCAAGGCGCCCGCCACTGAGGCGGGTAAGAAGCGTGGACGGACCACCTCGAGATCTCGCCGTCGGACCAAGACGGCCAAGGCTCTTGACGGTTCGCGCCGCGCGTCGTCCTCTGGCGTGTGCGACATGATCGAGGAGCAGCAAGAGGAGGAGGAGATCGGCTCCGATGCGGTCGAGTCCACGTCGAGCTCGCGGCCGAGCCGCATCCGCCGCTCGCGCCGTACAGCGGCCGCCAAAGCCAGGTCCGGCACTGCCGACAGCAAGCACCAGATGATGTCTGTCACAGACATCAACAAGGAAATTGTCGAGAGTCAGAAGGCTGTCGGCCGGTCAGCAATTGTCAACCAAGCCCCCACGCTCGAGGAGAACACTTTGTCGCGCAGGTCCTCTCGCCGCAAGCGGAAGCGCAGCCCATCACCCAAGTCACCTGGCCCTGTGCCTGATGTCAAGCCGAAGTCCAAGAGAGTGGCCAATACCAAGACCAAGCCCACCGCCAAGGCGGGCAAGGCCAAGGCGACCAAGGCCAAGGCGACCAAGGCCAAGGCGGCCAAGGCCAAGGCGGCCAAGGCCAAGGCGACCAAGGCCAAGGCGACCAAGGCCAAGGCGACCAAGGTTAAGCGGGAGCCAAAGATTGTCAAGCCGGCCGTGCCGCCAGCAGCGAGCGTGGACCCGCTCGTTGACGCCCACGGCTCATCGCTAGAGCGATGGGAGTCGAAGAACGCGTACATGTTTGTGTACTCGAGGCACCGCGACGAACCGCTGCCAGAGTACACAGTTCCGCAGGCGCTGCGCGAAGAGGTCGAGGCCGAAAACACCAAGCTGCTGGCCAGGATCTATGAGTTCAAGTCCAAAGTGCAGGCTGCGCAGGAGCAGGTCGACACCGAACGTGCGCGATACACCAGCCTTATGGAGCGCAACCGCGAAGCGCTCAAGACCGATCCCCGCAACGTTCGCTGGCTGCCAGTCGCCTGGCTCCGTTCGTGGGCACTCGGCAACCGCCCGCCGCTCGTCGCAGAGCCAGAGCTGCTGTGCAAGCACGGCTGCATCGACCCGCAGGAGGCGCCCAACCTCAAGGTTGTCCACGCCTCGGTCTACCACGAAATGGTCGAGCTGTACGCCGACAGCGCTTCTCCACAATTTCCGGAGCTCAACCTCACGTCATGCTGCATCGAGTGCCTTCGCAGCTACGTCAGCCATCGAAAGTCGCTGCGCGACGACATCGCCCATCGCGCCGCAGTTCTCACGCGCATCGACAACGGCGAGCTCAACGGCGACGACGACGCGGGTGTCTACATCGACAAGAAGTTCCTTACCCGCTTCAGACGGTCGACCACGTCGACCACCTATGGATCCGGCGACATCAACGAGAAGATCATGTGCGAGCATGGCAAGCTGACCCCTTCAGGTGCTGTTGCCGTCAAGGTCGGCTCGGACGACTTTGACTTTATGTGCCAGTATGCCGGCGTGACTGGCACCAAGCTGACTGGCGACGCCATTCCTTGCGCCATCTGTGCGGAGAAGTACGAGACCAAGAAGAGCAAGCGCTCCGCGCTTGCTAGCCAGCTCAAGGAGGAGCGGATCCTCGCTCGCAGCTTCCTGGAGCGGCGTACCGTGGCGCCCAAAGAGGCTAGCGACGGCTGGTACTTTGCCATCCCGGAGGACTTTGTCCATGACTGGCGCGAATATGTCAAGCATGCGCTCGACGGCGACGTGGAGCGTCCAAAGGCCATCGACACCGCGCCACTGCGGTGCGAGCACGGTAAGCTCCTTTACCACTTTTCCAGGAACGACCTTCGCGAGAGCCGCCACATCAACGTCTTTGATCTCATGGCCGAGTCCAAGTGGTCATTGTTCGTCACCAAGTACCCATGCGAGGCGCCGGTCCGTCTCTGCCTCGCTGCTGCAGAAAACACGGGTGACTTGGAGCTGGTCTACAGTCCTGAGCCATGCAGCCAAGGATGTGTCGAGGCACAGCTCGAGCGCGATAGGCAGGAGGATGCTGACGATACGTCCGAGATCTTTGTGCGTCTTGTTGGGCCTGGCGAGAACTGGTGCGACATCGACGTCGAAGAAGAGCGCAAGCGGATCTTGCCCAAGACCACCGCCTCTGGCCGGGTCCGCCGGACCCGTCAGCAGACCAACCCGATCCGTCGGTTCGACTTTCACCCGGAGCTCACGGTTGGCGAGCTCAAGTACGACATCTTCAGGAAGTTCAACGTGAGCGATACCAAGCAAGTCCTGTTCTTCAACAATGACTCGCTCGAGGACAACGAGAAGCCGCTCATCGACTGTGGCGTCGCCGCCAACAATGTCATCATCTGCCAGACGAGCAGCCAGCCTGACGACGACGATGTTGCGCAGGCCATCGAAAAGAAGGCTGCCACCGTGCCCGAGACCGGATTTGCCGGTTCGCGCCTGGTCTCCTCGTTTGCGCCGCGCCTCTCTGCGACCGAAGAGCCCGTGGTCGACCTTGTCGACGACGACGACGACGACAACAACAACAACAACAAGTAGCTCCCATAAGACTTTGCCTCACGCCTGCTCGCCACCCGAAGCCGCTAGCGTCGGAAAAGGATTAAAGCCGTACTCGAGCGCCCGCATCTCCTCGGCAGAGAGGCCCTTGTTCTCTGGCAGCGCCGACTGCGAGACAAAGACAAGCTTGCGCTTGCCGGTCGAGACCTTGCGCGACGGCAAGTGCTCCGGCGCCACTGCCAGCTCGTCCAGGGTCAGAGCAACCAGCGATCTGCTTGCTCCCGCCCCCCCAGCCGTTGCATTCTCTTGCAGTCTCGCAAGATAGGCCTTGACAATCGAGGCAAAGACAGCAACATCGTGCTTCCCCCGTCCGCCGCATCACCAGCTATCGCCGCCGCCACCGCTGCCTCCACCGCTAGTGCGAGGCACATGCGATCGGCCCGGACATCATCCACAGCAAACACATCCAGCATATCGTTATCGTTCTTCCCGTTGCCACCATCAGCTCCATCATCAGCATCGTTCAAACTCTCCAGTTCAATGGCCTCATCCCAAACACACGCCGCACCCAGCACTGCCGTCCGCACGCACATCACCTCTTCCTCTGACAGCAGACCAGTCTTCCCCGCCTTAGTAGCCAGCCCCAGACCAACCGCAGCTCGCCGCGCACCCTCTTCCCGTCGCCCGTCTGTGGCAGACATGTCACTCTGTGTCCTGATACCGTCACAATGAGAGGCGTGCAAGCGACCTCGGTCCTGTCGTCCCCCCCCC